CTTGAAACATGGAGCACAAGCAGTGAGCCTTTCTTTAGGGCGTAAGTTCAATAATGGCATCGATTATTGTACTATTCATGCCCAAGGTCATGTGTTTGGGCCTTGACACTTTCCCCTCACCATTCATTCATTCATTCTCATTCTGTCTCTCTCTCTTTCACACACACACACACACACACACACACACACACACATTCTGTCTCTAAACAGCCCCAGCCCTACACTAGAAGACATCCCTACTTCTATGTATCATTTGCTGGTCTCCTTTGTATGCATACTTCATTGCTGTGTGCGCCTTCCCTATCATTTCATGTACATTTCATTCTCTCAGACCCACTTTCTAGAGAGTCCAGGAACTTGAAAAGCCACGCGAAAGAAACTTTTCCACAACGCCCTACCTAGGGCCTCTGCATAACATCCCTAACTTCAGGCAGTCGTGAGTTTTCTGATTCTTTCCTAAGGGTTCTCAACTGGCGCTGTGCGGATCACCACATAGGGCAAGGGCCCGCTCCACCAACGGTGGCTGGAAACCACTGCGCAGTGGGCAGCTTCACACAAGGCCCCAAACAAGTCACGGCCCTGGAGCTGCTCACAACTCAGGCCACGCTTCATTTTCACTGAGGTTTTTCCAACTCGGGATTGGGTAGGCTTTTTTCCTTTCCCCTCCAAGACAAAACAGCACATTTCTTCAGGTTTGCTGGTTTGCAACTTTCTAGTAAGAGTGTCCAGCACATGGAGTGCCTCAGTGGGCACCCCGCAAAGGAAAGGATGGTGAGGACAGAGAGCGGAGACAGAGAGAGCAAGCAACCAGGATGAGGGAGAGATGGGGGAGGGGGAGAGAAGGGGAAAGAAGAGGGGAGGAAGAGAGGCTTTTTATTTTAAGAATCTGACACAGAAAGGATGCTACTGAAAGCAGCTGTTTGGCTTGATGTCAGCAAATGCATAAAAAAAAAATGGAGAGAACTTGTAGGCACCGATTAACAGCAAGCGTGTAGCAGCCTTCAGGGCGGTGCCACCAGATGCTAGGACTAATTTTTGAAGAGAAGTCAATTAAAACTAAAATAAACGACCTCAAGTCACTGTCGGTTATTGTCTCTCACCAGGTGCCTATAAAGGGATTCATGGCTGGCTGGAATGGGCAATGCTTTATCGTGCCATGTCACCTCTTTGGGAACCTGCTGGCTCCAGGCCACATACACTTGGCAACCACGAGGGAAAAAGACCAATCTGAGCCCTCACTTCCACATGTGTTACGTATGTGCAGGCATGAAGCTGAACGCACACATTCCTGTGAACCAAGGTAATCAAATTCCCATTACCAAAGCCAACAGCTGGCATGGAGAGCAAGCAAAGTGTGCTAAAACTCCCACAGTGACCGCACTGGTGCCTCCCAGCTCCATATCCGCTTGGTAAGGACACGGGAGACTCTGGTTAACAAATGGCTCAACTTAAGTGTGCAGGTTGCTGTGTTCAGTCAGGCAACAGGACACCCCAGTTAAGGTCCTATAGTAAACGGGGTAGGCTCTCTCCCTCGTTCCCAGGAAGCAGCTTCATACAGGGTACAAAGCCATTTTCTGTGGATTTGTAAATGACCATTTATGGTTCTCTCTTTAAAGATCTCCACTGATTATTCTGACACCTGGTGGTGAGAGGACAGCTGACTGCCACACTCCTCTTCCTGTCCAGGGTGCTCTCAAACACAAGCCCAGACTTTGTCAAGGTATTCTCCATCACAATTAGGCAGTAATTCATTCAGTTTAAGCACTTCTAGGCCTATGCTTCTAACAGGATTCTGAAAGGGAAACCCTGAGACTCATTTCCAACAGGACTTTGCTCACCTGGAAAACCAGGTGACGGCAAATACCTTCACCTGCATTTACCGAAAACCCAATCACTGCATGTGTTCTGATAAAAAGCACAAATGCTGGCCATCTTCCTCAAACCACAGGTTAAGAACTCGACCACAAGTGGGGCTTGGCTTTACTTTTCTGTGATTTTTTTTTTCTTTTATGATGTCTGTCAAAAACAACTAACCACATATTTCCAAACTTTTCTATTTTTCACTAATCATCCACATGGCATAATTTATCCTCCCCCAAACCTGTTACATCATCAGTCACACTCAAAGCCACAGCGCCTTCAAGGGGATACAGTGAACAGCAACCGTCAGGGTGGCTTTCTTAGGCTTTAGCAAACTATCCAATGAGGCCATTGTTACAAACACCGCACACAAAACCACAGCACGTAGCCCAACCCACTATCCAAAACTTCAAAAAAAAAAAAAGTTTTAAGAAAACTTTATGGAGCTTAAAAACTTGATCTTGATCAACAGCAATGAAATCCACTGTGTGGTTTTTCAGGTTAGATTCCAAACTGGCAACCCAGTGTTTTCCAGTAGTACAGGGGGAATGCTACCGTTTTGTTCTAGCTCTATAGCTCACACTATTTCACACAGACAATGGAGCCCAAGGTGCCGAGAAGTGCATTCCCTCTTGAAACACGGCCACAGCCGCCAGCTGTATTTCACTTAATTACGACTGTTAATTTGGCATTTCAAAAACTGGTCAGGAATAAATCTTTCATCTTTGGTTTGAAACTACAAAGTGAATGGATGGGCGAGCCGATTGAGACACCAGTGTGTGAAAACAAGTATTATACAGAAATCTGTTATTTCTGCACAAATACTATCACATGATTCTCAGAGCTAAGGCAGAGAGGGAGAGTGTTCGGGCAAGGATTGACTCCAGTTAACTAGGAACCACCCTGGCTAGAGTGGAGCAATGCCAAGTGCCAGTCTCGATGGTTCTGGCCGGGGCCATCCGCTTAGGGCACAAACCACAAGCTTGCGGCCCAACTGCCTAAGCTGTCACGTGCTGCTGGCAACCGTGTGCTTGTTATTGAATTTTTTTTAGAGCAACCCATAATGATGAATAATTTAACAGCTAATAAAATATTCAATCTGACTGATCCATTGGTTTAATTTTAAAATAAAGGCGACTCATTAAGGGAGTCACAAGGCCTTCCTTATCAAATTGCAGGCGTGAACCTCACACAGTGGGGAAACATCCACTCACGCAAGGACAGGGGCAGCGGGTTCCTGATGGAGCGGCCTGGGGTCAACTCCAGCTTCTTTAAGTTGGCCCAAAGTTTAATTGCTCTGAGCTGTCACAGCCAACTGCATACTGCCTTCCTCCACAGAACCCAAGCCCGGGTGAGTGTCAAAGGACAAGGTGAATGCATTACTGCAGCTTGCTTCCCTAAAGCCCAGGCTCCCTCTCCCCGAAGAAAAAGCCACCGGGCGAGTGCGGAGCACTCCTTGCCTGCATCCTCTAGGCAGAACCGAGTGGGAGATCCAAGCACCCACTCCACTGCCAGCTTGACCGCGGCTGCTGCTGCGGGGAACCGTGCGCTCCGCAAGGGTTCCTCCTGGACACCAAGGTCCAGGCCAGGAGCCAGGGGGGCTCGTCCCTGTTCCCCGCGCGCTCAGGAATCCTGGCCTCACCACCCACCTACGCCCACTAACCGCCGGGCGCACAGTCCCCTCTGCAAGCCGCGCGCCCCCCCGCGTGCGCTGCACTTCGTTACGCGTGCGGCGGGAGCGCGGTGCGGGTGCGTGGCAGCGGCCGTGTGTGTGTGTGTGTGTGTGTGTGTGTGTGTGTGTGTGTGTGTGTGTGTGTGTGTGTGTGTGTGTGTGTGTGTGTGTGTGTGTGTGTGTGTGTGTGTGTGTGTGTGTGTGTGTGTGTGTGTGTGTGTGTGTGTGTGTGTGTGTGTGTTCACGCTGGGAGGCAGGTGGGGGGTAAGGAGGACGAGACATGAGAGTGCCTTCAGTTCTTCCCTGTGAAGGATCAAAGTAAGGAAGGAATCCAGTCGGGAAATCAGAGCTGGGGAAAAAGAAAAAAGCCTGGGCCGGAGCCGGCTGCGGAGCCCACCGCTCCCCTAGCCTCCCGCCGAGGGGCGGCCGGGCCTGCTCGGGTCGCTGCGCGAGGGGATCGCGGCGAGTGCTCCCTTCCACACTCACGCACCGGAGGGCCGCGTGCCGGAGGGAGGGCGCCCGAGCAAGGTGCGGCCAGGCCTCCTCCCCGAACCGCGGGCAGCTGCCCTGGAACCCTCCGAATGCCCCGGGGGTGGCGCCCACGGGTGCGTGCACTGTGGGGAAGCCTGTTCACGCAGGGTCTGCTCTGGGCAACCGGGCGGTGCGACCTAGGCTTCGCCCGAAGCTGCCCGCTTCCCCTGCGTCCTTCTGCCCTTTCTGGGCTCCCACTCGGCGGCCGGCGACAGGGAGACCGCGCCGGGCAGGGCTCAGCCCGACCCCGACGGCTCGCCTGCGCAACTCGGCGGGAGACTCACCCACGTCCCCCAAGATTTTTTCACAGGTGTTTTTGCCCGCCCCCGCCCTGCCTGCCTTCCTGCAAGTCACGGAAAGCACGGCCAGCGTGACTCCTACAACTTTTCGGCTCCGAGGAGCCAGCTCGAGGCTGGCCGGCTCCCGGGCGGGCACAGGCTGCGGGGCGGAGACGGGGAGGTGTGCGTGCTGAGCCATGCCGAGCCCGGGAGGAAGGGACGCAGTCCGAGGGACCTGCCTCTCCCACGCCCCAGCCCCTAGGGCCGGCGCAGGGTGGCAGGGGCTTGTCCCAGCCCGGCCTGGCGCTCCCCGGCCTCCTTCCCCAGCGCCCCCGGGCTGCCCGGTCCCCCGCCGAAGCCCGCCCGACAGCCGCCGCCCCTGGCACCCCGGCCCCGGAGCCCTCGGTGCCCCCACGCTGCTGTATTCCACCGCGGAGCCTCGTTCCGCCCTCCGTCCCTCAGCACCCCTCGGTGTCCCTCAGCACCCCTCGGTCTCCCTCAGACCCGCGCACTTGGCGAGCACTTTCTCCGGGCACTTCCAGGGCGCACGCACCCTCGGCCCGCGCCGGGACCGCCTCCAGCGCCCCTGCGTGCCAGTCCCAGGGGGTTCCCGCACATCCCCGCACCCGTCCAGCCAGGCCCCGCCGCCGCCTCCTCACCTCTACCGAGCTGAGGGACTCCGAGGCTGAGGCCAAGCAAGAGCCAGGCGGCCACGGCGCGCCTCATGGTGCGGTGTCCGGGCGCGCTCCTCCGGGGTGCCGAGGGGTCGTCGCCAGGGGCCGGGCGGCCGAGGACGAGGCTCGGGGAAGGCGGGCAGCCTGCGCGCGGCGCGCCGGGCCAGCAGTTCCCGGAGAGGCGGCGCGCGGGCGCGGCTAACGGGCGTCCGGGCCGGCGGCGGGCAGCTCGCGGGGCCGCCTGCGGGCGGGCGCGGTGCGGGCTCCCGCGGCTCCGGGGCCCCGCGCGGCTCTCGGCGCCGCCACTGCGGGGCTGCCGACGTGGAGAACAATGAGGCGGGAGGCGAGCGAGCGGCGGCCGGGAGCGCACTGTGTACAAACAGAGGCGGCGTGCGTGTGAGCCCAGCCGCCGCTCCTCCTCCTCTCCCCGCCTATCCCCGTCTCCTCCCAACCCTCCTCGCTCTCCCTCCACCAACACCAGCCCTGCAGCCAGCCTGCCCCCTCTCCCCGCGCCGCTCCGCTCCCGGGAGAGAAAAGCAGGCGACCCCAGCCACGCCCAGCACCTGCCGCCCCCGCCCCGAATTGCCAGTATTGTCTACACTTCACACCTGCCACAGCCTGGGGATTGAAAGATCTTATTGTGTGCCTGCGAGTCTCCGGGTTCACCTCGTCAGGGACTCCCCTAAACTTCCTCAGTATAGCCAGGGAAAGAAGTTGGGAGATTTTTAAGTGTCTCTCTCTCTGGGGTGGGGGGGGTGGGGGGAGCACAGAGCTTTTGTGAGCCTCCCAGTCCCGCCAGGTGAATTTTGCGGGATTTCTTGGGCAATGCAGCTGGGCTCGCAGCTAGATTCCCATCAGCTGGGAGTGGAGCTACGCCTGCGCTCGCTGGGGCTCGCTCCAGGAGCCGGGGGAAGGCGGTGGGCGCCGCAGCTGACGCCCGGAGCAGCCCACTCTCCTGAGCCGAAGGTCTTTCTAAGGCGATGAGTTCGGGGACCTGCAGGGACACAGAAGGCGAGGGCAGACGCTGGCAGCATCGCAAAGCTGGATCAGATTTCCCTGCTACCCACCCAAACCCATACCAACCGACCGGTCTCTGCAAAAGCAGGTGTTTGAGCCAAAAACATAGCTCGCGGCTGACACGTGTGCTTTTGGCTGTGCTCTTCCGTTAGCCGCACAAGGATTCAAACCTGCAGTTTCGGGTACCACAATGAAACACAGCTCTGGCTGGTTTATTTATTTCTCTCCTCTTTTTCTTAGGGAGAAGGGGAAAGAGACAAACACAGAGACATTGAAGGAAGCATTGTAGAAGGCAAGAGGCTGCACGGAAAAATTACTCAAAATAATAGGTCAGTTAAGCCGGGGAGCATCTGCTCTGCCTGCCTCTCTGAAATTCTCGAACGTGCATTTCTGCCTGCCTTTTGGAGTCTGAGATCAAGGGTGCAAGGCTGAGGAAGAAGTCATTCTGAAACCTAAGAAGGTGAGCTCGCTGACTCACTAGAACACAAAGGACTCACTAGAACACAATAGGCAAATGCTTTCAGAGAGCAGGGTTTGTTCACGTCTCGGGTGGGAGGGGAGACAGAAACACACGTATAAAATCACTTTAAGGGAAAGAGGGAGAGTGATTTGTTTGTAACCCCCCCCCCTTTTTTTAATGCTTAAAGCTACACATGTTAGAATTAGAGATGCAGACTGGCAGCCCAGCACTTTGCAACAGATTTCCAACTTCCTGCGACCTCGTCCTGACTTCATCTTTGAGTGTGCGCTCTGACACGCCGCGGCATCTTCACGGGGAAGCACGTCTTTCATTTTTGAAATGAGATGTGTCACACTCGTTTTGCAATACTGTTCATAGAGAATCGTGCCCACATCCCTGAAATGTAAAGTTAGAAACCAGTCTCATGGGAAGACTGAGGAAGAAGGACATGCTGACAGTTTTATAAATGTTGCATTTTATTCCTTGTTTGTTTCTACTTTTCTTATAATGCTTGAATCTTAATAGGTGTGTTAGGCAGTTAAGTGACATTTGGCCATGGAATATGTTACAAGCATTTCTCTCCGCCACCCCCTCTTTTTTTTTTATTTTTTTGTAATTTAAGAAAAGGTTTTTAAAAATTCGTGAGGGCATAAAACTACATTAAATGCATATTCTATGCCCAAATGCCTGGAGCAGTGACAGTAAATGCCATTCTTTATTACCTAGTAGACAATGTGTGAATGATGTTGCCAGTTCAATACCCTACGTCCTGAAGTTCCAATTTCAATAAAAATTAATATATATATGAGACTTAGAGCCACGTGTCTCCTCCCCCGCCCCCGCCCGTTGTGGATAATGATGACCGGCCTTTCGTTCTGAAGATTGCAGACACTTCTCCTAATTTGCATTTATAGGACTCATTTCACTCTTAAGGAACTTATATCTAGCCTCAGCACAAGTGGAGTATAAGAAATGTAAAAAGGCCACAGACATCGAGATTTAAAAGAAGGAAACGAAGGACAAAGCTCGGCAATGAATCTTTGACCACGCGTTTAGTGCTAAGGGACCTTACTAATCACGTGCGACCCAGCTATGGTTTTACAGCTCCTCCAAATATGTGCCTAAAGTGCCGAAAATGAATCTATACATCACTTGGAGACAGTGCTTCCCAAATTGTTTTCTGCGGGCCTCCTTTTCCTCAAGTTGGTAATAGGTTTCTGGAGAATAAAAAGTTTCACAGCCAAATAACTTTGGGACCCATCCCACATTAGAGCAGCTTCTTACAGATTCATGGCAAATGGCAGCCTATCAACTACCCCGGAAGGGCTTGTGATTAAGAAACTTCCCCAAGAGTGTTTAATACAGCATTTTGGAAACTACATATTTTAACTACAACAAGCTTTCCCCCCACCCCACCTGGAATACCTGTTACCATTTTGTGGCTTCAGCACTATAAGGACAATAACAGGAATGTCACCTTAATATCAAGCAGAATAAAGTGGTAGCACAGAAAACAAACTATAGGAAGCTAACTGTTTGTGGTTGTGGCTTGTTCAGGTACTATGGAGAATTCTGTTGCCCCAGTCTCCCTTTCTGAATCCTGAATTCCATTGTGAGGGTCTGGGACATGGAGTCTTGAGGGAGCTCTGGGGTCACGAGACTGGATCCCTCATCAATGCGACTGGTGCCATTGCTAGGAAAGAAACAAGAAGTGGTCTCTGTGCCTGGTGAAGACGCAGAAAGAGGACAGCCACGTACCAACAAGGCACACCAGCCTGCCCCTCAACACCAAACCGCCAACACCCAGCCCCTAGCACTGTGAGAAATCAGTGGTGGTTGCCTCAGCCCCAGCTGGCTAACACAATTACAAGAGTTATCTCCTGTGGGCAGCAGCTTCAGTGCTGGAAGATACCCGGATTTCCTGGCTCAGCATATTGCCAAGCCCCAGCCTCCTGAAGTCACTTAGAGTACCATACCCCTAATGGCCAGCTGTGGTAATGCACAAAAGGACCTATTGCTGGCAATGAGGATGATGGTAAGATAATAATCCACATAGAACCAAACACACTTCCTCAACAGCTGATTATGTCTGCTTCTTCTCCCACTACCATCAACTGAAATACAAATTTTAAAAACCATCCTGTAATTTGTCAAGGAACAAATCATAACTAGTGCCATATTTATTATGGAGTGATATTTCTAAATAAGCTAGATATGAAAAGAATACTTTAGTGTTATTATTTGTTCAAATGGCACTCAACATTGGATGCTTTATCATTTTTGAACTGTGTCATTTCAAAAACTTTAGTAGCCATAGAACCTCTGAGTTGCAGTTTTGTTCCAGTCCCTGAGACACAAGGCAGGAGACCGCTTGGCCTTGTGACCTACACAACTGTGAGCTGATAAAGTGGGGTTTTTTAAAGTGTGTGTGATGATGTGTTGTGCAACCCTGAGAGGCTGATACGCTGGGTCGCTGTTGTTATGTAGCTTGCAGAGGGAACAACATGTGCAGAGTGGCCAGGTGAACGGTCCCTGGTCTCAAGTTAACCGTTGTTCAAGCCAACAATTGGGACGCCTCCATGTGCAGCACAACATCTACCCTGTGCTCCCCGCATCAGCTGGGAACCTGAACCAGGTCGATAGGATCATCGTCTCCAGTTCAACGTCGGGGACATCAAGGCTCAAAACATCGAGTGGTCTGCCTGAGATCAGGGACAAGCCAGGGCCTGAATCCCAAACTGACTCCAGGATCCATGTTCAGAGCTGTGATCTCAGTGCCCATTTCCAAAGTAGCTTGATTCACTTTATTTACATTTGCAACGTAAGTGCCTATAGCTATAACTGTCAGTGACTTCGTATGTCCTGCGTTCTCTCTGACCTTCATAACATTTTTGTGCACGTTGCTGGAATATGGCTGTAAGCATATTTTTAAGTTCTCTGAAATATTTGCAGAACTCTTAACATTTCTTTTTCATTTCTCCCCATAAACACTAAATTTTCTTATACCGCCTCTGCTCTGTCATTCCAACACACTTACAAACTCTATACACTGAATTCCTGCCTTCCCTTAACACCTACACAAATTATCCCAGCACCACAGAATGATCGTTATTTTATAGAATTACCAACACTTTTATTCCACCTCCATGCTTTCATGTGTGTTCATCTTAACCAGAGAATTTTAAATAGCTCTTTTTATTTAGATGACTGTATCTAAATAAAGAGGTGAATTGCCCGTTTTAACCTTCTTCCATCTCCCCAAGAACACTAAGGCACAAGCTATCTAAAGTGAACACATTTTGACCCTGATCTCCAGATCCACGGCTTCCCTGCCCCAGGCCCTGACGGGTGCTGGTCCAGAAACTACACGGTCGTTGGGCAAGTCTGCACCTCTTCAACCCTGAAAACACAAATCCCTGCCCTTTCTAATCCTTTTCCTCCAGGTTCCCAGCCAGTCCAGTTCTTGTTCTTATCTTGTTTTTAGTTTCCTTGGAAATGTTTTGGATATCTGATCTGTATACACCAACTGTATATTGCTGCATGCTTTTCACAAAAATTAATTATATAGACATTCTTCATCTTAAATTTTAAATAAAGATCACCTATTTTTGAAATTGTGTTGAGAGTTGAGTAATGTTTCTGTCATACCCATCCGTTGGTAGATGTTTAAGGAGCTCCCGGAATCAATACTGGA